TGCAAAATTATTTTACTGTTCTTATTGTTTGAAATTATGATGTTTGGATTAGATGAACTTTAAAATTCCTTTTACATTCATGATTTGTAATCTATAGACAATATAACAACCATAGAATGGTTAAAATAAGTGGTTTTCTGGTAAATATTATTGACTGGCTTTCAAAATAGAGAAATAAATAAATGGGTACAGTCAGCTCTCCCAGCCAGTAAGAGCCAGTTCCAGCCCAACATATGCCTTAAAATACTAAATTATTCTACCCTAAAGGACTGAAAAGTATGCTAATATAGTTGCTTGTCTCATGAAGTGTAAACTTGGATCTTGGCAAATTCAGGATTCTATAGTTAGATTGTGATATTTATAGCCTAAGGCTTAATGTCTCCTCTTAGATTGGCATTCTGTAATATCCTTTCTCATCCCTTTCACAGGACTCATTTTTAGTTTACATTATCTGCAGCATTTCAATAACCCTGGCCACACCCCCTTCTGTTCTAATGCTCACGGTGACCAATAAACAGTGTGTAGATGGGTACCAAGGCACTGAATGGCTATCCTTTTCAGATATTATTTATTAATCCCCTGGGCAGTGGAGGTTAAAACATTGTCCTGTGTTGGCTTAAGACTAATCTGGGAGCTATGACAAATGCATTTAAAGCATTAGATCAGATTCTAAATATTGCTTCCTGCCACACTAAAAGGTTCAACTTTTGAAAATATTACTGTCCACGTATATATCTGTAACTTTAAAAAAAAAGTTTAGAACAGTACATGTTCTATTCTTAAAAACTGTAATAATGGGATTTCAAGTTAAAGCATTACCACCAAATAATCCATATTTTAATTTTCTCATTAACCCTAGAAACTTATTTTTGTTTCCCATTATTAACAAGAAAATTACTAAGAAAATATATAAATGCATGTAACTTTTAAAAAGGGTAGCTAACGTTTTGAGTAGCTTATTTACAATGTGTACTATCTATAATAATAAAAGCATAATATGCTAATTAGAGTAGACGTCCTTCTGGATGAAATTCCGGATGAAGCTGGGGCTGTGAGGGGAGCCCGGGTCCTGGGTGCCAGAGGGAAGCCAGTGCCGGCAGCTGGGAGAAGGAAGGCCTACTCTTGCATGAATTTCGTGCATCGGGCCTCTAGTTTCTAATAGTAAATGAGATAAAGCTGGATTGCAAAACCTAAAGGTTGTGTGAGAACAACTGCATATGCTAAATTTCTAGTGTATGACAGTTAAAGTTTGTAACATTTCCCTGTTGTTCTTCCATATAAAATCTAAGTTGGCAGTTGTGAAGGGTCTTTGTTTGAATACACAACCAAAAATATATCACAAATATACTCATTTGCTTCCACTCTGGCTTACTGAATGTGTATCCATATAAACATGCATTATTTGGTTAGCAGCAGGCATCTATAAAGCCAGTGTGTATACCAACAAGAGGACTATGACTCTGATAGAAGGAAACACCACCCACCCTACAGCTGCCATCTCCCCTTAGAGTGGATTTGGCCGAGGGAGACCACTGCGTAAGATCCATTAGAGAGGATGCACCATATTGTGTTTTTGTAACTATTGGGAGGAGAAAACAGAGGAGTCAAACAAAGATCTGGCAAATGTTTGATATAACTCATTATAGTCTTATTTATTTATTTATTATTTATTTATTTATTTATTTATTTATTTATAAATATATTTTTATTGATTTCAGAGAGGAAGGGAGAGGAAGGGAGAGATAGAAACATCAATGATGAGAGCGAATTATTGATTGGCTGCCTCCTGCATGTTGGACCAAGCCTGCAACCCAGGCATGTGCCCTTGACTGGAATTGAACCTGGGACCCTTTGGTCTGCAGGCTGATGCTCTATCCACTGAGCCAAACTGGCTAGGGCTCATTGTGGTCATTTTTAAATAGTCAGATGAACACATGCTCTAAAGCCTGTTCTAATTTGGGGACTTACCTCAGCTTTTCCATTGAATACCTCCATCTGTCTACATCAGATTTGAATTCCTTCACTCAGAATAGCAGGCCAGGACAACCTCCCCTTGTAGCTTCCCGATTTAGTGGGAAGTTATTCCTAGTCATTTCATGGAACAGAGTTCTTTGAGACTGTCACATTGTGGTCTTAATACCAATCAAGGCTCATGGCTGTCTCTTCCAGCCCCATGTGTATGTTAACACCTCAGTTCTTAGGGTCTTATATTAATACTAGAGGCCGGTGCACAGGAATTTGTGCACTCGGGGGGGGGGGGGTCCCTCAGCCCGGCCTGTGCCCTCCCGCAGTCTGGGACCCCTCGGGGGTTGTCTGCCTGCTGGCTTAGGCCCACTCCCTGGAGAATCGGGCCTAGGCTGGCAGTCAGACATCCCTCTGGCAGCCCAGGAGCCCTCGGGGGATGTCCACTTGCCAGCAAGGGGCAGGCCTAAGCTGCAGTGGGACATCCTTAGTGCTGCTGAGGAGGCAGGAGAGGCTCCCGCCATCACTGCTATGCTGGCAGCCGTCAGCCTGGCTTGTGGCTGAGCAGAGATCTCCCTATGGGAGTGCACTGACCACCAGAAGGCAGCTTCTGCATTGAGCGTCTGACCCCTGGTGGTCAGTGTGTGTCATAGTGACCAGGCATTCCCAGTCATTCTGCTGTTAGGGTCAATTTGCATGTTATCCTTTTATTATATGCCTGGTGCATGAATGGGGGCTGGCTGGTTTGCCCTGAAGGGTGTCCCGGATCAGGGTGGGGCGTCCCGCTTGGGTGCCTGGCCAGCCTGGGTGAGGGGCTGATGGCTGTTGCAGGCTGCCAAGCCTTCAGGATGGGGGGTCCTCCATGAGGGTGTGGCTAGTCTGGGTGAGGGGCTGAAGGTTGTTTGCAGGCTGGCCACAGCCCCCAGCAGGGACCCTCACTCCATGGGGTGCCTGGCTAGCCTGGGTGAGGGGATGATGAATGTTTGCAGGCTGGCCACAGCCCCTTCAGGGTGGGGGTCCGCTGGGGTGCCTGGCTAGCATGGGTGAGGGGCAGATGGCTGTTTGCAGGCTGGCCACGGCCCCCAGCCACCCAAGCTCCCAGTGGAGGCTGGCTGGAAGCAGGTATCTGGGATTTATTTATCTTCTATAATTGAAACTTTGTTGCCTTTAGTGGAGGCCACAGCCGGCCAGGGCAGGTGGGAAGCTTGGCTTCCTCCATCGCCGAGGCAACCAAGCCTCCTGCTTGCTCCAGCTCCGTGGCTGCCGGCCGCCATCTTGGTTGGGTTAATTTGCATATAGTCGCTCTGATTGGTTGGTGGGCGTGGCTTTGGGTGTAGCGAAGGTACGGTCAATTTCATGTTTCTCTTTTATTAGATTAGACTAGAAGCCCGGTGCATGAAATTCCTACACTGAGTGGGGGGGGGGTGAGGGGGATTCCCCTCAGCCTGGCCTGCACCCTCTCCCAGTCCGGGACCCTTCGCTACTTACCCACTTAGTGCTGCTGCAGAGGGTGGGAGAGGCTCCCACCACTGCTGCTGCACTCACCAGCCATGAGCTGGGCTTCTGGTTGAGTGGTGCTTCCCCTGTGGGAGCGCACTGACCACCAGCAGGCAGCTCCTGTGCTAAGCACTGCCTCCTGGTGGTCAGTGCGCATCATAGTAACAGGTCATTCCAGTTGTTCCACCATAAAGGTCGCTAGGCTTTTATTATATAGATCTATTATCCTATGGGCCTGATAGTGTGTCAGTTCCTCTTTTTATCTTACATCAAGGAATTTCTGATTTTTTTCAACTTTGGTAAAGTATTAAAGATTTTTAATATTCTTTTTTAATCTAGCATTTCTGTGTTTTGGAAAAGGGATGCCACTAGCTTAGCCTACCCTGTTGCTGGAAGTTATTTGTTCCAACATCTGGGATTATAATATTTTAGAGCTGGGTGGTACATTAGAGATCCTTTCTTCACTCAGTGAATTGAGTTTTAATTTATTTTTCTTCATCAGGTACCAGGTAAGTTTGACACTTGAAATAAATTACCTGGGTTGTTTTAATATTTTTCTATCCATAAGAGATCCTAAAATCCCTAAGCTGGAGATTCCATTCAATTCAATTTTATATTTATCAAGCATCTCCAGTGCAATGGGTTGGTGAAAAGAACAAGAGTTGTACATTATGGTCTCTGACATTAAAGGAGCTCATATTTTAATATCAGGCCCAAATGTGAACAGATAATTGCAAAATGATGTAATAAGTCTATTATTACAAGGATAAATGAGATACTTTGACAGATTGGAGGCTCTTATGTTAGCATGGGAAAATCAGAGCCTAGAGATGTTACTGATGTAGAATTATGAAGAGAGAGACAGTGTGTGTGTGTGTGTCTATGGGGCTAGTAGAGGTCTTAAGGGCATTCCAGGAAGAAGGAAGAGACTGCTGATGCCAGAAAACAACAACAACAAAAAACAGTGCTGACAGTGATAATGTAGAAGTCAATAATATAATTACAAGTACCTCTATAAATTGTGGTTTATACAGTTTATTTCAACAAATAGTTGTTGAGGTCACTATTGTTGAAACCATCTGTTATTGAATACCATGCTCTGTATGTACACCTGACAGTGATTTTATGCTATTTCATTTTTTACTGTTGAGAACATTAAATGTTATTTGTAACTTGAATGTTTAGTAACCTTCCATTTTTTTCAGCATGTATCAAGTTTTAAGAAAGAATAAATGCAAAATTGTGATGAAGGTTAGCTACTATTATCTTCTCACACAACTCTCCTCCAGCACTAGGTCTTTATCCTCTCCCACTACCTACCACCTATTTAATCCAAATTCCCACCCATCCCTCCTTCTCTGCTTGCCCAGTAAGGCTAAGTTAGGACTCAGACCCTCTTTCCAAATGGTCACCAGTGCTGCATTATGACCATGAAGTCACAGAAGTCATCCAAGATTGAAGGAAAGGATAGGAGGATTTAATAATTCTCTAACCAGGGAAGATGACAGTCCAAAAATGATATTAGAGAAATTGTGGCAAAATTTTGTTTTCTTGTTTATTCTTACAATTTTTTTTGTATATAATGTAGGGTATCTCAGAATAATATAATTATCAGTTATGTCAGTGTCTTGCACATAGTATGTATCCAAACATATTTGGTGAATTACTATAATTAATTGAGAAAAACAAACAAAATGTACTGGCCCATGGGACAACTTGATACCCACATGCAAGAATAAAGTTAGTTAGAAATCAATCACACTCTATATACAATTAAATCAAAGACCTTGGAAAGGATTAAGGAGGAACGATTGCTAACAGATACAGGGTTTCTTTATTGGGGTGATGAAAATGTTCTGAAATTTGATGATTACACAATTTTGTGAACATATGAAAAAACGCTGAATTGTACATTTTAAAAAGTGAATTTTATGGTATGTAAATTATCTCAATAAAAAAAATAGATACAAAAACTCAACACAAACAGCAACAAAGAACCATAGCCCAGAAAGTTGAATTGAGGCTCTTATTAAAATGTTCTTCCTAGGTAGTCCTAACACTACAGAGGAACATAAGTTAAAGATGAAAGAACATGTTTTAGTTAAAATAAAATTGAAGATAGTCAAAGATATACTCTATTTCAATAATGCTAAGATGCATATTTTTCACATTTTTGAAATGGGGATGCATCTTATAATTGACTAGAGGCCCAGTGCACAAAATTCATGCATGGCTAGGGTCCCTAGCAGCTGCTGGCTGCTGGCTGGGGCCTCCCTTCACCTGGCTGCCTGCTGCCGCTACCAGCCAAGGCTTCCCTTCCCACAGTTGGTCAGCCAGCCCCAACCCCTGGTTGAACTCCCAGTCTAGGGGACAATGTGCATATTAGGCTTTTATTATATAGGATGCTGTGTCACAGTTTATTTGACTGCATTTTTCTTCCTTCATGGTACATAAAATTGTGGTATGTTTATGATTCAGTGAAGTATAGTAATTTTTAGAATAATGTGGCAGAGGCTGCTAGATGTTCTTCAATATGTGATCTCCTTTTATCAGATTTTTTTTTTTCTTTTAAGCTGGGTAAATGGCCACTCAGCCAAAGGCTATACTCCTAGTTTTCCTTATAGCTAGGTGTGGCCATATATTTAAGTTCTGGCCAATGGTATGTGAGTGGAAGTAATATGTGCAACTTCTGTTTTTTGTCCTTAGAGAAGAAGCATATTCTCTCTTCTCTTTCATCTTTTCTTCCTTCCTTCTTTCTCCCCTCCAAACTTCTTTCCTTCCTTTCTTCCTTCTGAATTGCAGATGTGATGGTCAGAGCTGAGCAGCCATATTGATCCATGAGATGGAAACAGTGTGTTTGTGGTGGTAAAACAATAAGACACCTGAGTTCTTAGTTATTATGAAAAAACATACTGTCCCTAGACTGACAAAGTGAGATGGAAAGAAAGTTCTAGTTTGTTTAAGTCACTCTTATTTGGGGTTTCTCTGCTACAGAAGCTGAACAAATATTCTATCTAATTTGAATGGTTTCACATTTCTGTAAGACTATTATTACTTTTTTCAATGAGTAAATTCTTCTTCCTCTAAACACACACACACACACACACACACACACACACACACACACACACACAAACTTGTCTGGGCCAAAAATGAGTTAGAAATGTAGCATTTACTTATAAGGAATGCATTATGAATAGCCTTTCACTTTTCATTACCATGGAACGATGATTTCAGCTCACATTCAATCTATATTTCTAAATGCCTTTGTTAGGGCTGTCTGTTCAGTGCAATGGAAGACAGCTTTTTTAGTGCAAGTAAGATTTCTTGATAATGCTACGTCTGCCTTGTCAGCTGAATTCTGGCTTATTGTCGCAATGTGCTAAAAATACATGATCAGATTTCACTGTTAAGAAAATTCTTTCAACAACACATGTACAGTCAAGTTTGTTGCTGGGTAGTTGAACATTTGGGTCATGAGATTTAAAAAAAAAGTCTCATGACAACACTGTATGGAAATGTAACACTCCGAAGCCTAGTTCTGTCTTTGCGCGGTAAGGCTGTGAGGAGCTGCGCTGCTGGGAGCTGATGCCTCTCTGTCCTTTTGACAGTCATCCTCCTGGTTCTTCATATTTGAGGAGAGGGCACGGTGAGGAGGCCTGTTGGCTTGATCTTATTAATGCCACCATCTAGAATACAGACTCTTGGATATTTCATCTTCACAAGATGTGCTGCAAACTGGAAAAAAGAAGCCAGTTTTATAGAGAATATAAAAATTTGTATTTGCCCAATCCCATTTTTTTCTTAAGCTGCGAAAAACAAAACTAAAGATACTATTGCTGTCACTGTGGTAACATTAATTTGGCTTTAAATAGAAATTAAATTACTCACATGTTGACACATACTTCTTTATGCTATGAAATAAATGTGTTTCTTTAGTTCTCTTTAAACTTGTTTGGATAGGCAATGAATATATACATGTAAACAATTCAAACAGTATAAAAGGGTATATAGTGAGAGGTAAATTTCTCCTACCTCTGTTTTCAATCTCCCTCTCGAGAGGTGATTAATATTTCTATTTTTCATGTATGTTTCCAATGATAGTTAAAAAATTCTCAAATCTATATTGAACATTTTTTAATCCTCACCCAAGGATATGTTTTTATTGATTTTTAGAAAGAGAGGAAGGGGGGGGGGAGAAAGAGACAGAGAGAGAGAGAGCGAGAGAGAGAGAGAGAGAGAGAGAGAGAGAGAGAGAGAGAGAGAGATCAATGTTAGAGAAACATTGATTGCTTGCCTCTCATACACAACCCAACCAGGTATCGAACCCACAACCTAGATATGTGTCTTGACTAGGAATAGAACCTGCAACCTTTTGGTATATGGGACAATGTTTTAACTAACTGAGCCACTTGGTCAGGGCTATATTAAATAATTTTTTATATTATTGTCAACTTGTTAGTTATGGAAATCCCACACACAATGTCCCAGAGAGGACCTATAAACTGGTTGTAATATGTTTTTGGAACAACTGCAATAAACAGTTTGAGACCATAAGTTTGAATGAATTTGAAGGACTGATCCAAGAAGTCTTCTAGATGTCTAGCAAAAAAAGGACTTCCACATGTCTCCTTGATCTGTCCCATGTCCACCTACCCAGGATCATGATTACTTTTCTCCATTCCTTATACCTTTGGTTGTGCAGGTCACCTTCTGTTGGGAACATGCTCCATTTCCTACCAGCTCCTGCCCCCCCGCCCCCACTTTATTTCCTTCTCAAAAGCTCCCCCACCCTCACCTGTCTAACTTCTTCCTTTTTTTAAAAAAAATATTTTCTTTATTGATTAAGGTATTACATGTGTCCTTATCCCCTCATCCCCCCCCCTCATGCCCTCACCCCCCTGGGGTCTGTGACCATTGGTTATGCTTATACTATTATGCATGCATATAAGTCCTTTGGTTGATCTCTCCCCTTTCCCCCTCCCTCCCCTGACTTCCCTCTGAGGTTTGAGGTCTGATCGATGCTTCTCTGTCTCTGGATCTGTTCAGTTTATGTTGTTCATTATATTCTACAAATGAGTGAGATCATGTGATATTTATCTTTCTCCAACTGACTTATTTCGCTTAGCATAATGCTCTCCGGGCCCATCCATGATGTTGCAAATGGTAAGAATTCCTTCCTTTTCACAGCAGTGTAGCATTCCATTGTGTAGATGTACCAGAGTTTTTTAATCCACTCATCTGCTGATGGGCACTTAGGCTGTTTCCAAATCTTAGCCATGGTAAATTGTGCTGCTATGAACATAGGGGTGCATATATCCTTTCTGATTGGTGTTTCTAGTTTCTTGGGATATATTCCTAGAAGTGGGATCACTGGGTCAAATGGGAGTTCCATTTTTAGTTTTTTGAGGAAACTCCATACTGTTCTCCACAGTGGCTGCACCAGTCTGCATTCCCACCAGCAGTGCAGAGGGTTCCTTTTACTCCACATCCTTGCCAGTACTTGTCATTTGTTGATGACAGCCATTCTGAAAGGCAAAGCAGGCAGACAGAGCAAGCAGGGCGCTGCTGTGTGGGTGTAAGAAGAAAACCAGAAACGGAGTGTAAAGACGTAAGAAAAGTTTAGGTGCCTTGAAGAAGAAAGGAAGGCTGTGCTCAAGTAATGAAAAACAACAAACGTTGAGTTTTCAGGTGAAAATTGCGAGTTCTGCTCCTCTGACCCTCTGCTTGTGGTTCCAATGATCCGTGTTACATATGGGCTCGAACAGTGAGGCCATCGCTTCATCTTTTCCACTCTGATCATGGAAACAGCTCCTCTCCAGCTAGTCATTCAGTTGCTCATTCAGCTATCAAGCAAACATTCATGGAGCACCTACTAAGGACCAGGCGCTGCTCCAGTTTTTGCAGTGCTTGTAGTTTAGTGGAGGAGAGAGTAACAAGCAATATCAAGTGGAATGGATGGCTACTACAGAAGCAGTTCAGGACTTCTGAATTCAACAGGAATTAGCAGAGATGTTCCCCCTTCTCCATCCTCTTTCATTATTGACACCTGAAGGGAATGGGGACCCGGATGTGGTGGCCACGTGCAGTGATTAGGTCATGCTCTCTGTGGCTATAGCTTGACAGGTCAGGGAGGAAGAAAGGGCTGTGAATGTACAGGGGTGGTTTCCATCTTGTGAATGAAAGCCACATTACTCATGGAGAAGATATGGCGGGACAGAGAACCAGGCATGCGGAGTTCAGGCTTCCGTCCACCGTTTGCTCTCCATCAGGCAGGGCTTTGGCAGCATCAGTGAGTGAGCCTGCAGGTACGGGACTGGCTGGTTAAGTCCTAGTGTGGACTGCAAAGCTGCAGCTTTGGGAAAGGCCTGAGGTCAAATGGAAATGATGAGCCTAGGGATACCACACTGGACCAGGGGTTATGAATCACAGGATCGTCAGGGTGCTTTCAGTAAACAGTGATACTCTGCCCGCTCCAGACAAGTAATAAACAGTTCCTTAGGATGGAGCTCCAGGTTTCTTTTTTGTTGTTGTTGTTTGTTTTTAAAGTCTCCTGGTGATTCTATTGTGTAGCCAGCATTGAAAACCATTGTATCGGATAATGGGAGTCATTTCCTGGTCAGGTGTGTCTGGGACCTCAAACTACAATTTTTATAGGTACAGTCCCGTGTGAAGAGTAAGTTACTTTGCACTAAAGAGGCTAAATGTCTGTAGGGCTGCAATTGGTGAGACCAATCCTAGGCGGAGAGAATGGGGCTCTTCCAAAGGCACAGCCAGCTGAGACAGAGGGCAGCATCCCATGTGGGCCTGGTATTTGCTGGGATAGGATTTGGGATCACAGACTGCAGGGGCAGCTGCATTTCTTGTGGGTGGTACTCCCAGGTGGAGGGCAGCACTCTTGCATTTCTGTCATTCCTCTGGTTGGCAGGCTCTGGTGGTGGTGTTCATTTCTAGGGCTGGGGTTGGCACACCTCAAAACAGCGCTGTCTGGAAATGGCAGGCTCCCGTGGTGCCACTCCATCTTGTTTTCTGTTAAGAGGCTGGTATGTTTGTCCAGAGGAAGTCCAGTTCTGCTGTGGCAGGAGAAGGAGTGAAGGAGAGGGATTTTGATCTGCCACAGAGAAGTACAAGTTAAGGGCAATTACTGAAAAGTTGCACGTTTCAGGTGAGGTCCAAGAGGTGCACACAGCAGAAACGTGTTTGTCACTGGGTGTCCTAGGACTCAGGTTTTGGTAGAAGCAGGAAGCTAAAAAACTGGGCTCTGCAAGATTCTGCAAGGAGCACGTTGCAAGACAGCTAATTTTCTTGATGTGAAACGTTGGCCTTTGTGAGTTTTAAGATCACAATGGGGACTGAACAACTGGCATGAGTCTGCTAACGCTCTGGGGAAGCTCAATCTGAGAAGTCTTTTTCTCTCTTCCATTTTATTTTGTCTACTCCTTTCCCCCCAAATAATGCTAAATTTTGGATACAGAAATGATCACTTTTGGTTGGGCATGGAACTGAATGAGGGAACTGGCAACTATCCTGTGATGAGCAGCTGAAGTAATTGCACTGTCTTGGTTTTATGGATGTGAAGCTGATGCTCTATTAGGCTTATGTGTCCTCTTGACCCTATGAGATACTGAAAATATGGTGCACATTTATTATTCCTCATACTGTATGGTCGGGGTTAGGCTAATAGATGCAGATCATGCATCTATTTTCAAGAGTTGACTAGCCAATTCAGATGAGCATATTTGAAATAAGAAATAGAACACGAAGTGATTTTTCCATCTAGACAACAGTATGGCCTTGGGTTAATATAACTCAAGTGCTGTCTTGTCCTGAGTATTTAGGAGGTTTCTGGGGTCATTAATAAAGATTTTGATCATTTCAACTTCCCAACTCAGGGATTCCAATTAGAAACTTAAGAACTATGGCAAAAATTAGTAGGAAAGAAGAAGGGATGATTTATCTAATACTTACTGATTTCTTCCCTTGATTATATAGTTAAAAATAATGTTGAGGTTTATTTTCTTAAGAGTACTACCTAAGATTATTTTCTTAAATAAACTACATAAAGGAACCTCTCTGTGCTGTTGGTGGAAAATTAAACTGGTGCAGCCACTATGGAAAACACTATGGAGTTTCCTCAAAAAATTAAAAATAGAACTACCATATGATCCAGCAATCCTACTTGTGGGCATATATCCAAAGGAAATAAAATCTGGATCTTGAAGAGCTATCTGCACTTCCTTGTTCACTGTAGTATTAATTACTCATAATTGCCAACATGGAAACAACCTAAGTGTCCATTCATGGACAATGGATAAAGAAAATATAATACACACACACACACACACACACACACACACCCCACAATGGAACATTATCAACTTAAAAAAGGAAATACTGCCATTTTTGACAATATGAATGAACCTGGAGGACATGATGCTAAGTGAAATAAGCCAAATTTGTAAAGATAAATACTGCATGATTTCACTAATTTATGGAATAAAAAATAGTCTAACTCACAGAAGCAGAGCAGAATGGTGGTTGCCAGGAGCAAGGGAATAAGAGGAGGAGATGGCAGATGTTGGTGAAAGGGTACAAAGTTTCAGTTACGAAAGATGAAAAAGTTCTGGAGATCTAAGGTATAGCATGGTGACTGCAGTTATTACATACAGCAAATATAATAATATTGTATTGCATACTTGAAAACTGCTAAGAAAAAAGAAAGAAAACAGTAACTGTGA